AGGATGTAGAGAAAATGCAATGCTCATACATTGCTGGTGGGAATGTAAAATGATACAGCCACTCTGGAAATAAGTGTGGCAGTTGCTCAAAAAGTTCAACACAGAGTTACTGTATGTCTCAGTAATTCCGGCCTAGGTACATACCCAAGAGAACTGAAAACATATGTCCACGCAAAACCTAAACATGAATATTTATAGCAGCATTACTCACAGCAGCCAAAAAGTGGAAACACCCCACATGTCCATCAACTGATGAACAGATAAACAAAATGTAGTTTATCCATACAATGGAATATTATTCAACCACAAAAAAGGAATGAAGTACTGATACATGCTACAACATGGTTGAACCTTGAAACCATTACGCTAAGTTAAAGAAGCCAGACACAAAATGCTACATATTCCATGATTCCATTTATATGAAATGTCCACAACAGGCAAATTCATAGAGACAGAAAGTATATTAGTGGTTGCCAGAGGCTAAGATAAGAAGGGAATAGGGAGTGACTGCTAATGGGTATAGGGTTTCTATTTGGGGTGATGAAAATGTTCTGGAATTAGATAGTGGTAAGGGTTGCACAACTTTATGAATATACTAAAAACACTGAATTCTACACTTTAAAAGGGTGAAATATATGGTATGTGAATTACATCTCAATAAAGCTGTTAATTAAAAAGAAAAACTTACTGGTCAAACTTCATCCATCCATAAGTCCTCCGTTTACAATTTAAAGAACAGTGTAATACTTATAGAAAGAAGCCAGGAAGGAAGAGCCTTGGTGCCAGTGAGATCCCAGACTGGAGTTCCAGAAAGATGCTCAGGGCCTCTAAACTCAGAATACACAACGCCAGGGTCAAAGCTCCCAATCCAAACAGGGAATATTTTACTCCAGCTAAAGGAGTGATGAGCCTTTACACCAAGTATCTGCCAGCCCTAAGAGAAAAAAACACCTTCCTGCTTCTCAAGAGTGCTGGTCTGATAAAGAGCGGTTAGAGAAATGCACACAGACCACTGGGTGTGATAATATGATACACCCTCATTTCCCATAACCTCATCAAGATGGTAAACCACTTGTTATTCTGTTTTTTTTTTTTAATAGCTGCTTTATTTATTTATTTTTTTTTCCCCCAAAGCCCCAGTAGACAGTTGTACGTCATAGTTGCACATCCTTCTAGTTGCTGTATGTGGGACGCGGCCTCAGCATGGCCGGAGAAGCGTGCGTCGGTGTGCGCCCGGGATCCGAACCCGGGCCGCGCGCACTTAACCGCTAAGCCACAGGGCCGGCCCTCGTTATTCTGTTAATAACATCACTACTGTTAGATTACTAAGAGTCCTAATGTTAATGATAATATTGATAACTTACTGAATGCCCACTGCCATGACTGTGCCCCTTACCAGATTCACAAGGGCAGGACTGTCTATCTTACCTTTATATCCCTAGCACTTGGGACAAAACTTGGCCCGGCCCATAGGAGGAGCTCAATATCTAGTTACTGAATAAATGAAGGAATAAATGCCAAGCACCTTGCTGGGTGCCTGAATCACTATTCTCCACCCTGTATTTTCCATAAGGCTTAACACACAGCAGCATTCAATAAACGGTGATGGGCTCACTGGGCTCACTGATCTCCCAGACAACTAAGAGGAACAAGAAGTTACACAGAACAGCCCATTTTGGACCAGTGTCACTCAGCCTGGTTCCAAGCCGCTAAATTGGCCAGCAAGAGAAACAAAACAAAAGCTCCATGAACCTCTACCAACAAGGATTCAGATAAGGTCAGGGTGGCCAGCTGCAAGAGCCATCCACCTTCCCAAACAGTCCTGGGGAAGACAAGGCCTGGGGATGTTTCCCCCTGGAAACCTACTCTGCCATGAATCTGTTAGCACACAAAACAACTGCTATCCAGGATAGGTAACAGCAGGCACCTGAAAAGGGACACACAGGAGCCTTTAGATACAGAATTAAATGTCCCAGGACTCATACTGACTAAGTGCCCACCAAATGATGTACATAATATATATAACAAACAACTCGTTTGGGATGAAAATAAAATACTCCCTGTCAGCATCTGGGATATCATTTTGGCACCTGGTGTCCCGGAGTATATTAAACACACATGTTCATATATTGGGCATACGCATCTGAGGTCACTGCAAAGAATTCTGGGAGGAGGAGCTCAAAGCCCTAGGCTAGTTATTCTACTGACGAGCCCTGGACAATCATTTAACGTGTACTGACTGAGTGTTTTTTCACATGTAAAATGAAGATATAACCATCTTTGCCTCCCCTGACTGGGTAGTGGTTACTAATCAAATAAACAGATAAATGAGAAAATGTCTGGCAGAGTGAAACCATGCTTCATTTTTCCTTTTTCTGCCTTTCACATTATTTTGCTCCCTGTTAGACTACTCAATTCATCCTTAACCTGTGGGCATTTTCCCCTGAGCCAGAAAGGAAAGAATAGCCTAGGCCTATGCAGTAGCAAGACTGGTTTTCAGTTAGGGGAGGAAAAGGTAAAGAAAAGATAAGAAGATTCCCTTGGATGGCACCAGAAGGGAACAAGGCTCCTGCTCTACTTGTTCTTCCTGTTTGCAATCAATGATCCCACTTTGCTCCATTCCTGAAGTGAAATAAGCTACCTGACTCTGAGCCCTGCCAACTGGCCACCCCACCCAACTCTACAACATGTATGAAATGGTCCTTGGCCCTTACACAACAGCAAAAGCAGGTGTGACACCAAAGCCACCCCTCCCTAACTTCTACCTTCCGTCTTCCCAGAGCTTGCTAGACCATCTCTTGGACCTCAGACAAGTCAGAAACACCGAAATTCCACTCCTGGGTTTGCCACTGTGTGGTCTTGGAAGAGCTACTTAACTATTAAGGCCTCAGGAAAACAAGATGATAGATTCTACAACAGATTCTACCCCTAGGGACACTGAGAGGACTAAAGGAGATAAAGTATGGAAAGGGCAGAGCACAAGGCCTGGCACACGGTTTTCCTACTTGGAAAACATCCAGGTGCACAGCAGTAGTAACTAAGCTTGCACCCGCTTGTTGCTCAGAATTCAGGGACTGAATCAGCAATATGGTGAGCTCTAAACTGATCCTACCTAAAAAATGAAAGCTCTCACTGCTTGCTTCTGATAACTCCTTTTGTTACCGCCCAAGGTGGGGCCTTCTGCTCGCTGCAAGACATGCCCATAGCCAAGAGGCAAGGTGGTAGGAGAAAAAGGACTTTTTTATTACAGCTTGCTAGCAAGAGGGAAGATGGCCGACTCATGTCCAAAAGAACCATGTTAAGGGGGCATGAAATCTTACAGCAGTTATATAGGTCATTGGGTTATTGGGGATGGGGTTAGGAATGTTGACCTTCTGGTGTTACAGACTGGGAGTGCCACACCAGATCTTTCAGTTTTCACTGATGATGGCTATCAGCATAGACTCACTGTTCGGGGGTCATCACATTCCTAAGGAACTCAAAAAAACGAAGTTATTGTCTTATCGCAGCTGGGAGGTACAGGCACAAGCAGGGGTCGTAAAATCTACAGAGCAGTTAGATCTCCTAGAGGGTGCATATCCAGCTGGGTTAGTTTGTCAGAGGTCCTTCAAAGTTACAATAGAGTTTTTCTTTTCTACAATATGGCTTCCCTTATGTCAACCTTGTCTTGAGCCAGTATCACTTTTGTCTCCTTCTAATTAAAACAACATATTATCATTAATACTGGCTTTATAGCTGACTCTTAGTAAAGTGACCATCTAATATCATACCAATCTTTAAGAAACCAAACAGTCCACCTTTCTCCATCTCTAGCTC